ATAAAATTCAAGACTTTTTCAGTAAATTAATTAATTTTTTAAAATTATGAGTAAGTACAAAGCATGGAATATAAAAAAATGCTTACTTGTGTGTACATCTGACACACTTTCAATTCTTGGATTTTAGAGCAAAATGTCCACTTTACTCTCATTAGACCAAGAGCTGAGGCCCGAGGGTGGTCAAAATCTTAACCAGCCGCCTCTCCCATCAGAATTGATGAATATAATGATACGTGGAGATTCAAAATATTTTAGTTATATTTCATTCTAAAAAGGGTTTCGTTGGTATTTAAGAAGTGCCACATGGTCTATTTAATAAAACAGCCGCAACTTAAACCAATGGACAGAAAATAAAAAGTTGTCGATTGAAAGTGCCATTTGCAGCAAGATTCAAATGCATCTTGTATCCGAAAATCGACCTTCAACAAAACATACCCCCTACAAAAAAACAAAACCAAGCCACAACTTTGCCAGTTGATTTTTTTTACAGCAATTTACTCCCCAACTCAAAGTTCCGGCAATTTTCGGATTCAATAAAGGTGAAAAAATGACCTATCCGTTCCGATCATCTAACGCGGATCTTATCTATAATACGCATCTAAGATAATATATGAGGTATTGTAGATAAGATTATAGATACGATTACAAAATCTGTTTTTGAAGGCCGATTTCCGGGTACAAGATGCATTTGAATCTTATCGTAGATGGCAGTTTCAATTGTCAATTACATAGTTTCTGTCCATTGGTTCAAGTTGCGGCTGGTTTATAAAATAGACCACATGGCACTTCTTGAATACCAACAAAACTCTTTACCAGAATGAAGTACGACAACAAATATTTCGGATCTCCACGAATCATGAGGTTCATCAATGTGGGTGAGAGTGGCGGCTGGTTAAGATTTTGACCACCCTCGGGCCTCAATTCTTGGTCTACATTGTCTCTTCTCTTATTGTGCAGGGTTTCTGTTTCGATTCGGAGCTCGCTCGGGCCGTACCATATAACTTTTTTTTGCTTCACAGGCCGATGTACAGAAAAATAGTTATATGGTACGGACCCTGCACTTACCTACAACAAAAGGATTTATTTGCTGCGCCATGCTAGTCAAATATGGTGACCAAGCCAAATTTAATTCGACTGACTCTACCTATATACGCTTTTCTCATTCTAATCTCTCTCTCTCTCTCTCTCTCTCTCTCTCGACGTGTTTTATTGTCATTTTATTGAAAAATGCGCCCTCTACGTACTTTTGCCATCAAGGCCTCTTGTACATGAGGTCAAGTCGAGTCCTGGCGACACGACTGTCCCAAGTTTCGGAATATCATCAACGGGAGCTGCTTAACGATTTATTCTTAATTTAGTGTAAAAAAAAGCCATAGGTACTTTATTTATTTCGCGTCTTGTAGTACGTATAACAACCAATCGAGTCCCATACGTGCTTTTTCATTACGTGTCTACCAATACTTGGCTTCGTGCTCGCTAGAACCCCGGACCTGGACTCGACCCGTTTTTGCGTTTGTTTCTTTTTTTTTGGTAGTGTGTGTGAGGTGCTTTATCGTTCGTGTGCGGGCAGTGCGGGGCCTTCGATTTGCGTGACACCTAGCTACTTATATTTGTGCGTGGTGCTAGAGAGAACCCAGCCAGCAGCCGATCTGTAGCATCATCACCCAGGCTCATTCTCGGTGCGTTTTGCTGTGCACACTTTTCTCGTACAACTTTTAACTTACTTCAAGTATTTTTGGACCTCTTTATTGGCCCGTCGTAGTTGTTGATGCTTTTTGCTGCAAATTTTTATCCTTTTCCTTAAATCTTCTTTTCTTACTCTCTCTCTCTCTCTCTCTCTCTCCCTCTCTCTCTCTCTTTCGAGAACATCTTCAACGAACAGCAGCTGCGTTTTACTTATTTCAATCCATTTAAAGTGTGTATTAGCAAGTAGTGCCCTTTTTTTCATTTTGAACGATGGATTATCATCAGTTTATATTTTTTTAGTAAATGATTACGCGGTCATGGTGTAGTTGATTTACGTGTTAAATGTTACCAGGATTATTCGTCTCAAGTATACAAATATGTGTGTGTGCGTGTATAATGACTTACGATAAGAAATACTATACAGCCTGCAGCTGGTTCGTCCGTCGTTAAGTTAAAAATTGAAATTGAGGTTAAATATACTTGTTACGCGTGCTGGCACATTTGCAAATTCAAATTTAAAATCCATGCTTGGATTTTATTTATTTGTAAACAATTTATGCGATGTCATTTTTTAATGATAGATACTTACCCAAGGGCGTTTTATCTACAACGAAAATGAACAAATTTTTAAAAATCGAGAGACATGATATTTAGACTTTTAAATAATAACCCTTCAAATTCTGGGTTTATAAAACAAGCGCTTAATTTACAATACTGTGCGCTCTAAAAAAAAATATTTATTTTTTAAACTTTTGTTTAATGAACAGATGTATAGAAACAATCGTAAAAGTATTTTTAGTGTTTGTTCGTGGACATATAATTTTTTTGGAATACCTGATTCTAAGACTCTTACAAGAAAGAAAATTATTTTCTAAATCGCAAAAGAAATGATATGCACAGATATATGTCTTAGAGTGCAGACGCTTGTAATATATATAATAGCTATATGTACGGGTTTGGTTAGGCGCCGCCTCTGTAATTTTTTAATACTGCACATAACACAGGTTTCCGTTTTATTTCTATCTTCGTACATCTTAACTCAAGTACTTGATACAATAGCCTCTGAATCGCTTCATACATATTCTAGACTTTCTCAAACATTATTCCAAATGTTTTCAATATTACTTACTTAAAATACATTGGAAAAAAAAAAAAAAAAAAATCAAGGATCTCAAGTATGCTTGATTTCTACGTTTCTCAAATAATATTTCCCGTAAAGTAGACACTAAATTTTTTATCAGTAAAATCCTAAATAACTCGAAAATTTAAAGAAAAAAATTATCTTTGAGTGACAGCGTATTTCTTAATTTTCATTAAAATCTGTTTATTTCGGTATTAATAGCGAAAGCCCTTTGATTCACTTTAATGCAAACGTGGACTCGTGTAAATAAATAGGTAAGTAAAGTACCTTTCATTGGTTTCGTCAAAGAAAAAAATTTTTGTCATCTTGAACCATAAGTAAAGCGATTTTTTTGCCCATTAGAAGCTTAGATGCAAAGCCACACGCCTAATTATAAAACCATGAAATCTATTACTTATGAGTATAAAATTCTACAACAATCAGTATTAATAACGTATACGTATTGTGAGATAAAGAGGCTCTGAGAACAGTGAGTGCACAGAAACAAGGAAAAAGAAGGGGCTTGACGAGTGGCAATGCGAGCATAAGTACATATTTTATCATCGTCATACAACATCGTAGAGCCGCGAAGCACAAACTATCGCAGTTTTTCCACTAAGCTCGTACAACGGACACGCGTGTAGGGTGTGATTAACACGCGATCGTGCTTCCGCGAGTCGCGAGGTGAAAGGAACGGAGCATGCAACAAGCTTAACGCGTAAAAAAAATTCGGAAATGAATTAAAAATAAAAAAATAAAAGGTCGCGTGCGTGAGAATCGTCATCGTAAGAGCTCCGTCTTTTTTGACGACGTGTCTATCGGTGATCGGAGATCGGAGCTGCGGTTGCGTATGCAGCTGGGGAATCTCTCTTTCTCTTTCTGCATGATTGCAAGCTATCTGTGTAATCTGTACATACCTACATATATGTTGCTTTTTGGGCCCGATGAGAACGAATGAAAAAATAATTACTTGATCCATTTGTTCGTATGTGACCGATGAATTGTACCTATTTACTTGTATGTACCTAAGTACATACTATATATGTATACACTTGTTGCATTAGCCCGAGCCCAAAAGAGCTGGGTGTTCTTTTCTGACGCTAAAATCTAGCCCATTGTTCAAAACGGTATCAGCTGCATTTTTCCATTAAATCGTTGACAGCTTGATGATTAAACTACACTTGGCATTGTTGACGTCTGCCTCAAAAATATCCAATTATTATTTCCTTCTGGTGTTTTCCAAGTAGCGTCTACTTATACTTAATATGTCCGGTATTATGTTACTTGTACGAGCTTGTGACGTGTACAATCAGATCCGACCCGTAATAGCTATAGTGGGCCAAGACTTGGTATTTATTTTTTATTTCCCCCCTCTCAGTGGTAAACACACGCCACGAAAGTGCATGGAACAAAATAACGCAAATTTTAATTGTTTCAAAGCTTTTGGCAGCTCCGGAATACAAAAAAAAAAAAAAAAAAAAAAAAAAAAAAAAAAAAAAATTAGACAACGCCTACTTAAAATGTACACAGTTTTGGTCGCGTGAATTCAATCGTTAAAAAAAAACCCAAAATTGAGCACAAGTAGCTGTACTCATCACTGCTTTTTTTCTATTGAATGTATATCTGCAACGATAAACACATACAGAAGTAAACACGTGTGCGCGGGCCCTGTTGTTGCAGAGTCATCAGGGAAGGACATCTAGCCATCAGCCATACCTATAAGTCAATCATCACCAAATCAGTCGAGCAATCAACAGTCAACCCGAGCGAACGCCAAAGCTCAAGCCAGCCTGGAACAACATGTTCATTATTGACTGGCTCACCGGGGTTTTGGGATTCCTTGGTAAGCATATGCCACCTGCCACTTTTGGCTGGTTCAACGGGATTCCTCGCGTGTGCTTTGCTTTGTTCTTCTTTTGTTTCACTCTAATACTCGCTTTGGTATACTTACTTTCGTGCAGTTGCACAAAACGACGATCGGTGTCATTTTGGCGCGATGACAAAGGTACGCGCAATTCTTTTTTTTTTTTTTTTTTTTTTTTTGCAGGATTATATAAAAAGAGTGGAAAGTTACTATTCCTTGGACTTGACAATGCTGGCAAAACAACACTACTTCACATGCTTAAAGATGACAGACTAGCACAACATGTACCTACATTGCATCCAAGTAATTGATCTTTTACATAAAAGTTTTTCCGATTTTTTCCCTCTTTTGCATACAATTTTTTTAACTTATTATTTATAACTTTATTCCTTAAAATTAAATACTTTTAAATTCCTGCAACATACATAATTTGAAAAAATGTTACGTTTTCTTTGTTACACAGCATCAGAGGAATTGTCTATTGGCAACATGAGGTTTACCACCTTTGATCTTGGTGGTCACTCTCAAGGTATGAATTACTTGAAATATTTTGTTATTTCGAAATTGGCATTTGTATAAGCCAACTTATTTCATTTGTCAATTCCATCGTTTCAGCCCGAAGAGTATGGAAAGACTACTTTCCTGCGGTAGATGCCATAGTGTTTTTGGTAGATGCCAGTGATAGGACACGGTTACCTGAATCTAGAGCAGAATTGGAAGCACTCATGACTGATGAACAATTGAGTGCATGTCCGGTGCTTATTCTTGGTAATAAAATTGATAAGCCTGGTGCAGCATCGGAAGATGAACTGAGGAATTTCTTCAATCTTTATCAACAAACGACTGGAAAGGTAAAAAATAAAAACTTTGCCTTGCTATAAAAAGTATTCGGTTACAAAGACGAGCTTTTTTTTCGTTTCAGGGAAAAGTTGCACGTTCTGATATCCCAGGCCGTCCATTAGAACTCTTTATGTGCTCAGTACTGAAGAGGCAAGGTTATGGCGAAGGTTTTCGCTGGCTTGCACAATACATTGACTGAATACACGTGAATAAAATCTAAAAATTTAATCTTCCCAGTAATTAATGACTCAAACACTGGATCATTTTCTATATTGGCGTTAGTAAAACAGTCTAAATTTGATTTTTACAAAACAAGAAAATTTATATCATTAATAGGTGAGGGTTTCTGTGAATAAAGTGAAAAAAAAAAAAAAAAAAAAAAAAAAAAGTCAGGAATGTTGTGTATGATGATGGTGATGATGATGATGATGCTGAAGGTGATTAGCTATAGTTATATAAGATCGGTACCTACCTGTGGTAGTTAAGTTACTGAAAAACAATACATTCTCCGTAACGAACTTTATGGAATTCTTGGAATTTTTATTCTACTTTTAGTGAGTGCAGTGGTATACACTAAAGAGTGGTTGAAGCATTTTTGGTAATAAAATTATTCATAAAGCAATTATTCAAGAAGTTCCGTAGTTATAATAGTTCATTTCACTGCAAAAAAAATTTGTATCTATGTCATACCGGTAAATTTTTCTTACCTTACATTCTAATGCATTTGAAGGTATCATTTATTCATTATAGTAAACTCAAAGTTTGAGACATTTGAATTTTTCGCCAACTAGACTACTGGGGTTTCGGTAATGTAAAGATAAACGTTATTCAACGTTTTTAAATTGTAATTTTAATTATGAACCAACTGATATTTAAATTATCCAATCATCTTTATGTTATTGTTATGATTCTTTTTCCATTAAAAAATTTCCAGAAAATTTTATCAAATTAAATGAGCGAATAAAAGAATACAAACCTAAATCAATAAATTATCGTAAAAAATTATTGAAAGTTAGTGTGATTAGTTAATTTAGATTTGACTGATGTAATTTTGTACATCTACAATGTTACAACGCAGTTAACATGCACTATTCTCTAAGTTAATGTTACATTAATAAAAAATTGGATTTTCTTATTTTAAATATTACTTTATATTTTTAGGAAAATTTTTTTTTTTCAATACGAGAATTAACCTGCATGAGACTGAAATGTTACAAACAGTTAGAAAACAATTTGTAGGAAAATATAAAATTTATTTTTGATAACGTTAACATTTACAATTTAGCAACTGTCAATTCATTTTGAGGTGACAAAGGAGCAAATCGTTGTTCAATAAGTACGTTTGAAACATCACTTAGAGTCTTAGGATTCCAAGATGGATTTTGATCCTTATCAATTAGTAATGCTCTTACACCTAAAAAAAAAAAAAAAAAAAAAAAAAAAAAAAAAAAAAAAAAAAAAAAAAAAAAA